AATTCACAACGGTATTCTATAAATCTTATCCAATTCACAACGGTATTCTATAAATCTTATCCAATTCACAACGGTATTCTATAAATCTTATCCAATTCACAACGGTATTCTATAAATCTTATCCAATTTACAACGGTATTCTATAAATCTTATCCAATTCACAACGGTATCCTATAAATCCTATAAACCTTTGACTGAACAAGTATTTATACTTAATTGTCTAATGTCTACAGAAAAACTTGTAATTCTTGAACACTTTGTTTGCAAGATGTTTTTAATACTTATATTAATATTTACTTTCTAGAACTTGCAAAAAAATACATGTTTTCTTCGAACTTTTAGGTTTTCGAGTAAAACGTGTAAAGTAAGCTGCGTTGAGTTCTTAATGTACGCTAGTGTAGACCCCAGTTGAATTGCAATTTGAACACCATTTCAGAGATAAACACGCGGAGTTCTTCGCCTAATATGATTAGTGAAAGGTTAAAATGGTACCATTGTACATCGGACATTCTCATATTTGCATGGAGGGTCCATTGAAATTAGGCTTACAGTCCCTTTAGTTTAGGATATATAACATTACTTAACCCACCTGACAACAGTCACATCTATCTGTGACAACCCCAGCTAGACATCTGTCAACAATATCACAGGTTGCCAGATCACAGGGTTCACATGGATCAACCGCCACAGCTGTCCTCCTTGCAACAGCTAACAGTCACAACATATTGATTTACTCATTAAGATTTAAAACAAGTTTTATTTTAATGGCGCAACCAAATTTTTATAGTATCATTTTTGCTATAGTCATTTTTGCTATAGTCATTTTTGATTATAATGGGTCATTTTTGCTTTTACGAAATCAATTCTATATCCAATATACTTCCATAATTAAATTATCTTAAGCTAGGTCCGGTCTTCTATCATTCTACAAAAGTAAAAAAGTGTCCCATCGCTGAGGCAAGGACACAGCGAGTGCTGCGGCTACACAGAGAGATCCAGACAGTTGCAAAACTATGCATCAATTTACAAGACCAGGCAGACCTGCAAGCAAGGACGTATACAGAAATAAATGTAGGGGGGGGCAATATTTGCGCGAAGCGCAAAAATTTTTTTTGCCCCCCCCCCCTAGGAGCTCCTAGGGGGGAGGCAAAATTCGAACTGTAAATTCATAACACTTGGCTTCTTGGATATCAGGCATAAGTATAAGATACTTAAAAGGCACACATACAGTCCAAATAATTACCTTCTAAGCATTGTTTCTAAAAAATCGACATTTTATTATACTTTTATAGGTATATTTAGTATTTAAACTAGAGATAGTAAAAGACATTTTTGAAAATAAAAAAAATTACAAAATGGGTAAAAATCAAATCTGTTCAATAGGAAACAAACTTGGAACTTTTTGTTTAAAGTTTTAGCAATCTTGATCTTTCATTATTTGTCGTCTGACATTGACTAATGGACCAGAGTTATATTAAAGATTGCCACTTTTGTTGGGAAACTTTACAAACAAACAAAAAATAAAATCTTTAATTTAAGAAAAAAACTTGTTTTTACTATAAAATCCTTAAATAAACAAGCGAAAATTATTCTGTAAAATTACATACCAAATATTTGTTATTTCATTTATTATGTTTATCAATTTTTCCTTTTTATCATGTTTTTTTTAACGAAATCCTTTCTTTCTTTCGTCGGAGCATTTAATTTCCAACTAAAGTATTACAAAATTTTTTCGGAATCAATTTATTTTTAACCCTGCAATAACCATGCATTGGAAATTAAGCTTCTTAACAACAATTTCCCAAGAAACTCAAATCCATCCTACACACAATTTTTACATAACACATTTATCACTTATTTATGGCAATTTACCAATATTTATTATTATTATTATTATTATTAATATTATAATTATTTTCATTGTTATCATTACTTTTATTACTTTTAATTTACTATAATGGATATTCTTTTTATTATTAATATTATAATTATTATCATTGTTATCATTACTTTTATTACTTTTAATTTACTATAATGGATATTCTCTTTTTTGTTAATTATAGGATTATTAAATATAATGACGAAATCTTTATATTCCTGTTAAAATGAAAAAATGTAAAAACATATTGAAAGAAACTAGTGCACTGTTAGCATATGTGAACTGTATGTTTATACTTGAATCTGGAGTAGGGAGAGGGGGGGAGGGGCTGGGGGCGTATTTCGGGGATTTTAGGAGTCAAGTTTCCAGGTAGATTATGTAGATAATAAAAGGGGTGGATGAAGTTTATTTTGTATTTTTATATTTTAACTTGTATGTTAATTAAGAGGATTACCGATTAGAGAATACAAAGACAAAAAAAAAGAAAAGAAAGGAAAGTACATTTTTAGAGTTTCTCGTTATTTCTAGAACTAGAAAAGTTTGTGAAAAATGTCTGTTTTTAAGATAAAATGCCTTTTTTTGCATTTTGTTAAACGACTGACAAAAGAAGCCGCCTAAATGTTTGTGTCAGAGAAAGAGATTTCTGCAAAACGAATAGACTTTGGTCTAATCGATAATTTAAAAAAAAGATAGGATTTTTAGAGGTTACTGTTTACAGATCCATGTAATACTGTTAAACTTTGGCTTTCTTTTTTGTCTGTGGTAGCCTCAGATGTGTCATTCTATACGTACCCATCTTATTTTTTTGCGAACACTCCCATTAAGAGTGCGTTTTTCATTTCAAATTCAAATAAAATAAATTCCACAAACCAAGCTTCTATGCAGTAATGTCTCAATAAAGTTTAGTTCAAGGACGGCCGACCTCATAAAACTAACTGTACAAAGTAGATATAACATTACTATATACCATTACTTTCAATAATTGAGAAATTTGGTCTGAGGTAAATTTTGTGTGTTATGTTAAAATAATGGAAAAAAGGTCAATAATGAAAAATATTTATTGAAAAGAAAATCTTCAGAAACATACAGATGCTGCAAGAGATGTAATTAAAAAAACAAGGATTTGGGGCGGCACTATTAACGCTAGCTTTCTTTAATCAATTTTAGCTGTTAATTTTGAACTGGGAATTTTTTTTTGAGTAAAATTGTTCAACTTTTACGGTGGGCCCAATAGGTTTAGCCGTTTTGACAGACAAAAAAGTATATATATATATTTATATTGATATTCAAATTGTTATTAAAATAAAACCTGATCTACAGAAACCTTCCACCCCTTAAAATCTAAATGAAGTAAACATTTTTACGAATTTTTTCCCTTGCGAAGGATCCTTGAGGAAATTGCATTTTAAGGGAATCTATTCCTTGATTTGGGGGGTGTTGCGTATATTTCTACATTTTTAGACTTTTAAATTTTTTACATTTTTACTTTTTTATTTATATGCACATATATATATTTATTTGTCTATATATTTAAAATTTGTACATCTGTTAATTTATACGTTTGTAAATTTTTACAATTTTGCATTTTTACATTTTTACATTTCAACATTTTTAAAATTTTTACATTTTCGATGCTAAAATTAAATCTCTTCTTTCTCAGTAATGGCTATATTTCACCATGCATTAAACTCATTTTTTTATGCATGGCTTTTCTTTTCACTTTTCCCATGAAACAACCCGGAAAAATTCGATATTATGTATTTCTGAGCTCTATATCATACTTTTTTGATTTTTCAACTTAGTGGTAAGCGATTATATCGATACAATGAAGACGACTTTTTTTAGTTAAGTTTGATTGTTTACAAGCTTTTTTCTAATTACAAGTTTACAAGTAATAAAACAGATGCCTTTTTATTCAATATCTTCTCTTGACTTCTATGTTTATGTGTATCCATGCTGTTTACCAGCTTGATTTGAATAAAAATTGATATCGAAGGTCGTCTTCAATTTTGATATAATCGCCTACCACTGTATTTTGATTTTGAGGTCAATATATTGTGAATATGGATATGACTCAAATATGCGTATTTTTTAATATTTCCGTATTTAAAAGCTTCCGGTGTATTTGATGTAATGATTAATATACTGCATACTCGTATACTTGTACTACAGTTATACATATATATATATATGTAATATTGTGAGGGGGGGGGGGCGGGGGGTTCTACTGTTTGAAAACGATTAACATTATTAAATTCAATGGGAGCTAAACTATCACTAATTATCATATACAAATTCTATTTGTAAAGACATTTTCAACATTTGGTTGTGGGGCCACGGGCCGGTGTATTTGTCTGTGAAATTCACTTTCGAACCCATTTCCTCTGATAAAAAGATACGAAAGTAATTATGGATGCAAATTGAATTTAATCACTATCCTGAAATCAAAATTGTATATTATAATTACCTTGAAAACCCGAAGTACAGAACTGTTAAACAGAATTTGTGTATTAAAATCTCAATATTTACAATATTTGTTTATTTTTATATCCAACATACGGCTCTCCAGGAGTCAGTTTATGTCTATGTCCAACAGACGGCTCTCCAGGAGTCAGTTTCTGTTTATGTCCGACATACAACTCTCCATGAGTCAGTTTATGTTTATGTACGACATACAGCTCTCCATGAGTCTGTCAGAGCAAAGTAGAAAAGTAGAATAAAGAGTATATTAATGTGGACAAAATGAGAAATTTTCGCGCAAGCTGGAAACCTAAGGTGCGAGTCGTATACAGAATTTTCGAGGCCTCATATATCAAAAATGTAAAAATGCAAAAATGCAACTGTAAACTTGAGAAGTTATATTCTTTAACTTTCAGAATTTCCCATTCTATTTCATTATTTTGAAGATGAAAATATCTGATCAAGGATGAATTAGATATAACTATATTTTTGTTTCTATTTATTTTCGTTTGGGGTTTCTCTGCGAAAGTGACTTGCCCATTTTTTGTTTAAGAGAAGCAATGGAGAAACTCATAATAAAAGTGTTTTAAAGTCAGAAAAACGACAGTTTCTTCCACATTTTTGATCAGATTTAGGTTTCAATTGTACCGTTGCAAATCGGACAGTGCCATCTTTGCATGGAGGTTCACTTGAAATTACGCTTACAGTCCCTTTAAGTGAACCGAGTAGAATGTCAAATTCCTTTAAACCTTTTGTCTATTCAAGATCGAATGTGATACCCTTATTTTTCTAGCTTAAAATAGATTGTTTTTAATGTAGTGGGTTTCCAGATCGAGGTGAAAACGCTATCGTTGTAATTTGAAATATCACTCATTTAATGAAGGCTCACTTTTTTACATTATAGACCACCTTTAAGTTATTTTATTTTATTTTATTAAAAAATTGGAAAAATTCTGATCTGTCAGTTTTTACAGATGACAATTCAGATTTCAATCTTTAAAGGACACCCTAAATATTTAAATAATACCTCAGTTCCTATAGAGTATACTAAACAGTCATTTCCGGTCCTTATATTAATAATAATATTTTTACAGCGAGGACATCAATATATATTATATAGTGAGAGGAAGTTTAAGTTTTACATTGAATATATACTACATACATAGATAGATTTTATTAAATTATATTTTTTTTTTTTTTTTTTTCTCCTTTTTTAGTCATTTTTCAGTTTTTTTTTCTGTTTTCCTCATACTTATTTCTCACTACATATAATCAACCAAATTTAAATTGATGCGGTACTATGCGACCTCATAACTCCTTGAATTTAAATTTTTACTCAAGAGTTAGAAAAAAGTTTTTTGAGGCAACACATAAGGATTACAAAGTTTTTTTGTTGATAGCTCTCCAAAATGAGTTATGTTTAAAACATTCAAGATTTCGATATAAAATAAAATATTCTTATTTACAGGGTTAAAGGATTGGAAGAAACTTTTGAGAAATTTGGCAAAAAATAAACAAGTTCACAACAGAAGGGAAAAACTTCAATTAATTCGCTGAAGTCTCATCCTTTGTGGGTATAATTTTTCTTTCTTTTTTACTTAGTGATTAATCTTATATTCAAAATCAATTTCCTATTTTTACTTTTAAACTCTACAATTGTCTAAATCTAGGATCTTTAAGATTTAAAAAAAAATTTTCATCTAAAGGCTTCTGGCTATAAGGTACAATGTTACCTACGATTGATGAGACTTTGGAGAAGATTGTACAACCCTGTAGTTTGATATATTTAATTGAAAAACTTTCTGCTATCTAAAAATTTCATCAAATTCCAAGAATTCTTAAAACAACATTTAAGTTTAAAAGAAAAACAAACAATAAGAAATATAATGAAAGAAAGTTGCCCGAAAATCAAAACTTGAGATTTAAAACCTCAAAATTTATTTTATTATTTTATTTTTTATTTTTATTTTTTTTTATTATTTTTATTTTATATTTCGTTTTAATATTCATTTAGTTAAAAAAAGGTTTCCCATGATAATACTGAAAACAATTTTTAAAATCATCTTCTTTTTTGCTAAAGCTAACAGACCTCTTTTTTTAATATAATCACGGTCTCAATTTTTATAATTGCCATCCTTTAAACATATGATTGAGCGAAACTATGATTCGAGTGAAAGATTGATAAAATTCCAGAAATGTAACAAAACTAAAAAATTGCTTGAACCTCCATTTTTCAATCCTTTCTAATCCAACAAATTAAACTTTCTCTCTCTTGGATGTGAAATGAAAACTGTAGAAGTTACATGGTTACAAATTTATAATTTGTTAGTTATAAAGTTATAATTTGACAAATAATTTTTAAAGATGTTTAGAAAAGGTTGATAAATGAAACTCAGTGATGTGGAAAATGATAAGTTTTATTTTTCTCTTCCTCTATTCAGGTAATATTGCAGACAGTAGTGACCTAACAAATTTATGTCGTCTTCGCTTTTTCTTTGAATTTGTAACTTTTACAATTGATACATGTATCTCAAACACTGTTAAGGCCTCCTTTATAGAAATAAATCATTAAAAAATTTCAAAATCCTAAGCGAAAAGAGAGAAAGAGGACATTAATTAGTTTACATTCACTGTGTGTTCAGTATTATATATATGTGTACCGCCATTTATTACAATTGTACTCATAAGCCCGAAATAAAGATTTTACCAGTCAAAAGGACATATCTAAATGTTTCTGCGCAATAAAAAATGATTCATGTAAGAAAACGGTCAAATAAATTCTGCTTTTTTGTCGAAACATCGCAATTAATGTTATTATTTATAATTGATAATTAAATCATCAAAGCTCGTTCATAAAAATAATGGCACCCAGTGAAAAGAATTTTCAAGTCATTTGTCGATTAAAAACATGCAAAATCATGACCTTCAGGATCCAGCATTGCAAAAACTAGTCTAAACAAAATATAATAAACTTGATGAAGGAATGAAAGTAAAGAGGCTAAGATTGAGTGAAATAACGAAACATATTTGCACACAAAACTATGTCTACATTTTAACGATACAAACGGTTAGGGTTGGATCAAAAAAGAACATTTGATCTGAATAACACGACATTTTCCTGTGGCAAATATTTTTCCATCAGACCCTTCTGATTCTATACTAACGGTAAATCTAACTTCTTCTGCACTGGGGCACAATATGGCCGATCATACGCCTTTCTGCCTTGCCATGGAGTCCCGTTACTCCTATCTTGGTATTGATTCCTCCCTAGCTCTGCCCTGGCTAACTGTACCAAATCCAGATAAACAAGATAAGGAAGGGTTAAATATCCTTTTGGAGCCTGGCCTGTTGGATCATCAGGCTGCAAGTGCAAACACACTAAGAGTTTAAAAACCTTTAGCACTTGGCTTGGGTTAGATTGTCAGGCTAACAAACATATTCTCGCTTTGGAGCAATAAACTGTACTTAATTATTTACAATTGTGAATCCTCACTGGTTCACAATATTATTGCATAAACGTTTGATCTATAAATCGATAATAAATAAAGTATCAAAGACGGTTCGTTATTTTGAACACTCTGATAGATTTAGGCTTAAAACAGTCCGTCAAATTCATGAGCAACCGAAATTCCAACTAATTTGAAGGCCTATACGCAATGCGTAGTACGCATGGTTAAAAATAATTTTAGCAAAACTTAAATGATTTTTTAATAAGAAACCTTGTTTTCTTTTATATTATTATTAACAACTACTTAATAGGGAGGTTAAGGGAATTTTACGTTTGAGTTGAAAATGCGCGAATTTTTCATGAAAACTCCACATAGCGGGGGTTATTTTACTTAGTTGTCCCAAGGGACGTTAAGTTTCTTCACGTACCTCATCTAAAGGAATCTTGCAGTGTTGTTTATTGTTCGCTTGTCTGCAAAAACTCCGTTACTACTTTTGTGACACACTGCTAACATTTCCTCTTCCAATTATTTTACTTTCCTGGAAAAGCCAAAATGTGTTTCTCGGTGAATAATGATGACGAATTATTATCATTTGATAAAAAAAAACTTTCCCACCGAGTAGAACATGGACATTTTTAAGAGAAAAATGAAAAAGTAACTTTTTGCTGTTAACCTTTTTAAAAAATATTTCATTTTTTAAAACACAACCTAATCCTTTCACAAATGTTTCTATTTACAATAAAATAAGATAAGGCAATATTTCTTGAATTTACTAGAAACCTGCCTGGGGATCAGGAAACAAAAAAGTAATTACATAATTGTTTTCAAGAAATATATAGTTCTTTGATTGTTTAGGGATTTTCGGTCGAAGTTGAAATTTAATTCTTTAGCGGGGAATCAGATTTTATTTGTATAATTTATTATTAAAGTTTCCTGAAAGTTGAACATAAAGTTTTCTTGAAAACTTTTCAAAATTCAAGATTTCAATTTTCTCTTGTTGAGGTGTCAGTGGAGTTGAGTTTGCTTGCGTGACCAGGGATTTAGAATCTACATTTCTCAGGTTTTATGTTTCTTTAATTTCCGCTAGATGTCAGAGAGACGAGGAGGGGAGAGCACAAAGCCTTAATCCTACGTTGCTCCGAGCCACATATTGTGCCATCTGACATCCAAACTATCTTTGGTTTAAACACAAAGGTTACAATAGGGATTTTCAAGCATGAAACTTACTTCAAATGAACTTTTAGCGGCTCGGAGGAAAATTCATGATATGCTTTCCTCATCTAGCTCTCATGACATAGTTTTTACTGTACTTTCATTCAAATCCCTTTACCGTTATAATTTACACATTATTAGCTAGGCTGATATCAGAAAATGAGGATTAATATGTTAATTTACCAATTTTTTCCTATTAAATTTTTCAAACGCAATAAAATCTACAAATATTTTTATTTAATAATTTTATATTTTTCCCTGAAAAGAATTGAGCCTTTGCCACAAACTCAAATTTTCTTATATTTTTTTGCAATCTGATGTTGTAAACCTTTGATATTTCAAACTTTGATTTTGTGATCGATCCTACAAAATTCATAGTTTGAAATATCTAAGGTCTACAATTCATCGTGTTGCAAAGATATAGGAATTAGAAAATCTGAGTTTGTGGAAAAGTTTCTTTATGTTTCTTTATTAGTTGTACCTGCACCAATAATGTGGACTACTCAGACAGGGAAAATGTATAAAATAAACTAAAATAAATAAAAATAAAAGTAAATAAAAACTAAAAAATGTTTTAGAAGTTTTCTGCCTGTATACAACTTTATATTTACTAATTAAAATACAACTTTAATGAGAACCATCTTTGCTGTCAAACTAAAATAAATCGTACGGAGGATAAAATTATATGTTATGTTTTTTATTTAAATTTTGATTTTCAACAAGTAAACAAAGAGAAGATGTTAATTGGCAGCTTTTCTATGTTTCCATGTTTGAAAGCTTGGCAGAAATAAAAATTGAAATATATCTTCGTCTTAATTGTATTGATATATACGACGACGAATAGATATTTCTCTCTCCCCTACTTGTGCGTAAAATCAAACTAAAGAAGGTTTACAAAGTCGTTCTAATAACCTCGCATAAAGGAATTGAGCCTTTGCCACAAACTCAGATTTTTAATCCCTATATTTTTACAACCCGATGTCGAAGACCTTTGATATTTCAAACTTTGATTTCTTATTGGGGTTAATTAATATAAGTTTGAAATTTTAAAGGATTAAAACATCAGATTGCAAAGACATAGGAATTAGTAAATTCGAGTTTGTGGCAATGACTCAATTCCTTTGTATCCTCCATTGTTGTTTGTTTCGACTAATAAATTCTTTTTTTCTCTTTTCCAGATTTTTTATTGTTTTTACTATTCAAGAATCCGGAAATGCAGATTGTAATTTGATATAGAGTATTCTTTATTTTGGATTTTTTATTGGTTTTCCCAGATATATAATTTTCAGAGAAATGAGAAAGTGAAATTAATTTTTTTTTGTAATCAGCTTTTCGTTGCACAAAACAATTGCACTGAAGTACGTTTTATCTTGAAGCAGGTGGATAGAAAATACAAGTTCTTATTTGACGAGATTAATAAATTGTAGAAGTAGTATTTTTCCAACTTCGATGTAAAAATCGTATATTTCTCTTTGATTTCTTTTTAATTATTTCTAATTAATGCATATCTTGAATATTCATTTCTTTCAATAGTGTAATTAATATTATAAATTATACATTAATACTAGTTTTGAGAGTCTATCGTCTAAACTAGGTCCTGATATTACAAAATACCAGTTGTCAGGTACAAAATTAAAAGGACTGTACAATGTACATGCGTAATTTTGAATGACCTATACAATATACAGATGGCATTACCCGATTCACAATGGTACCCTTGAAACATTTATCTGAACAATATTGTGAAAGATATTGTCATTTTCTAGGTTTAAAAGACAAATAGATAAGCTTTCGGTGTGGAGTGCTGACTGCAGCCATTTGTTGTACACTGAAGAAATAGTAGTGCTTAGTGGAGAGCGAAGTGTATAATTTTGATAATTCGTATATATTTCCCTTGAGCAGAAATGCGCAAGTCAATTTTTCAGAAAAAAGACAAAATTGAAAATAATAATTTGTCAAAAACATAAACATTGATATATGTATAATCATACTTGATCATTCAAAGCTTTTAATGGTACAGTTGTGAATCAGTCATTGTCATCTTCGCATGGAGGGTCCCTTTAAACATAGATTTTAAATTTGTTTAATTTGGGATAATCAGTCTTCGAGATTTTATTTTTAATTAATGCTTTTATGTCATACATTTTTTATAATGTTCAATTTCTGAATTTTTCTTGTATTGACAGGAATTTTTGTTAAATTAGATATAATTTTCTCGATGAGATCTAGGGAAATGATTCCTATATCTCTAAGAATATTATAAAGAAAACCCCAAGAGCCCATAAAAACTGCAAAAGCATAAAAATATCCCGGCCGCACTTTCTAGATTAAATTTGCTTATACTAAATTTCCCACCAATTAAAAATACATTCATTTCTTATCCACAAGTTTCATAATTCCCGCCTTTTCTCTGTAGTTATTTTTTCTCGTTTACAAGAAAAGTTCTAAAAAACTGAACAAAAAATTGAATCAAATGAGTTTTTATCAATGAATACAAAATCTAACAACAAATAAAAAAAAAACATTTTTAAAAAATCACCAAAAAATCCCCCATGGACTTCTAAAATCCTAATCTGCCCTTTTCGGGGATAAATCTCCAAGGCTGGTCTGTTGGTCACGCCGCGCTGTACGAAATGCCGCAATGTTTTGTTTACTATACAGGTCGTCCTCCAGATAGAAGAATAAGTCAGCTGTTTATTACTGACTGTACACAAAACCTCAGGAACCAGTTTAATTCAAAACAAATATGATTAGTTTTCTCTAAGCACAGTTTTACTTGTGTATCACTGAAGGCACACAAGTCATTTATCTTAAATTAAATAAGAACGAACAATTTCTTATGTCCAAAATCTGATAGCTGTTTTTAACTATTAAGTGACATGTCAATAGGACTAATGATTGATTGAACTAATGCTCGGTTCTCCCCCCCCCCCTAGTTGCACCACTGGTTGTACTAACGTTCAAAAGCACTATAGTCCTTATGAACAAATATTCGTTCAATTGAACTAAACCCCACGAGGAGACATTCCAACCACATGGTATATTGTTTTTTATTAATCCCGTCTAGAATTGGGTCATTTCATGTTTATAGCTCCACTAAACAAATCTTAGAACAAATGAACAAAAAAGTTTATTTGGACTAAAACCGTAAAAAGATGGGAAAATCCTTAAAAGTTAAAATGAGTAAAATTTTGAACAAATGAAAAAAATGTTCATCCATGATCTAAAGGTAAAATTTTCATCATTTTGCGACAATTTAGATATTAGTTCAAACGAACACATTTTAGAACAAATGAACAAAAAATGTTCATTTGAACTAAAGCTAAAATTTTCATCATTTGCGACAAGTTCGAAACTTGTTCAAACGAACAATTTTTCTGTCGAAAATGTTCATTAAGACTAACGTTCAAGCACTCAATAATTAGTCCATTTGAACAATTTTTCTGTGGAAAATGTCCAATTTAAATTATGTTCAAATGCACAATGATCAATTGCACTAATGATAAATTGCAATAATAAAAATTAGCGGGAAAAAGATTAGATTAGTTCAATTGAACATGTTGAATGTTGATTTTGTTCATGTGGAATATTGTTCAAATGGACTACAAGCCGTTTTGTGAACAACTGACTTTAGTGCAAATGTACGTTTGTCCAATCGGCCTTTATCTGGTATAGCATCACTCATTGTACAAAAGGTCGTCTTTGACCTCATCTAAACATAAACGGTGACCCACAAATAATTTTTTGACGATCAAAATCCGTTAATATAGAATTTGATCTGAAGAGGAAATTTTTGTTTTGTGAATCTCGTTTGATCAATTATTGTGTTCTATCCAATCTATTCTAATTCCTCTTCAATATCCCGTGCTGGTTACTGGTCATATCCTGTAAAGATAACTTTAATGGAGGGAACAGATTTATATGTCTTCACTTTGGATATCTTCTGCATTTACAAGCTTCTCTTTTCGTGCATTTTAAAATAATTGAAACAATTTATTTTATTGTTATTCTTTTTCGGTGCACGTTTATGTTCATGTTCACGTTCAAATCTATCAAATTTTTCTCTTCTACTCAATAAAAAATCAAATTTTAGTAATTTATTCATATTACAGTTATGAAATTATTTTATCCGAGGCTCCAAAAAGTATAAGTTTTTAGTATGGTTAGACCAATGCAAGTTTAGGCGCTGTCAGCTGATGCAACAATTCAAAGTCAACCTGGTCTAGAAAGTTGATGCATAATGACATGCATAACAGCTGTCTATCTATTTTAATTAAACTGGTTTGAACTAGGCTTGTATTTGACCTTGACAGATTAGATGACCGCTATTCCAGCATAACAGATATCACTTTTGAGAACATCAACGAACTAAAACTTGTGTAAGACTTTTTATATAGTCATTTGTTTTTAAAATATCAAAACATCATTAAAAACAAACATTTTAATATTATAGGTTATAATAATAAATTATAGGTTATATAATATGAAAAATGTAGATATTTAGCAAAAATCACAAAAAACCCAGAAAGTATTTTATCTTTTTATTTTATTCTTGGTATTTTCGCGCAATATTCATTTCTTGTTTATATGCTCTTTATGGTCTAGGTTTGAAAGTGTTCAAGTGGCAGAAAAAACTACATTTGTATTTACAGACATAAATAATCTGGATATTTCTGGAACTATTCCAGGTAAAAATAAAAATATTTTCTTTCAAATATCAGATCTTTTTGATGTTGTGAAAGCATACATTATTTGTAAATCTAATTAATTAATTAATTAATTAATTAATTAATTAGTATATATATATATATATATATATATATATATATATTATAGATATTGTTGAATTTGGGATATAGAGGTAGTTTCGTGAATTGTTTGATATATCATATTGTGTGTTTAAAATATATCTGTTATGATTTGAGATGATTTGAGATGATATTCCTCTGATCGCTTTTGATTAGACGTTTAAACAGAACTATAAACTATATATTTTTAAAAAAATAATCACAATCAATGTTTATGATAAAGCCATTTACTCAAAACATGATAAAAGGCCATTTTTTAAAGAGTGGGTTATTGTAAGTAACCCACCACATGCTAAACTGCCCGATTAACAACGGTACCCTTTAAATCTGTATCAAAGCACAATTGGAAATTATCAATTTTGAGATTAAAAAATTTAGGTTACTTCCATAATTTTGTTCAGATAAATGTTTAAAGTTTACGGTTGTGAATTGGACACGACCCTCCTGAAATGTAGGATATCTTCACTGAAAAAGTTTATTTCTTCTGCTCTTAAGTCACAGATAGATATGAGCATCGATTTCTGGTGCTTTATGTCTCACAGTAAATGTTTTAAGATGCTTCACAAGATTATAACGTATTTCAAATTGCAGTTTGAATGTCTGCTTTTATTACCATGTAATACTTTGAAATTTTCTAAGCCATCTTAGATTCTTTTTTTAGATTTTTTTTATAAACATTCTTTTTATAAGAAACCCCCAAAAAAGATGGCCAACTTTTCTCATAGAGACCTTTGATTGTTTATAACTTCAGAGTTCTTGAGAAAGGATTTGAGTTTTTGCCACAAATTCAAATTTTCTTATTTCTTTATCTCTGCAACCGCTTAGTGTAAACCTTTGATATTTTAAACTTAGATTATTTGTTTTAGATTATTAGTTTGAAATATTTAAGGCCTATGACCATGGGTTGCAAAGATATAGGGATAAGAATATTTGAGTTGGTGGCAAAAACTCAGTTCCTTTAATTTTATAAATTGTTCTAAACAAATGTGATGAAAAATTAAGCTGTATGTACAATGTATGTACAATGTATGTACAATGTATGTACAATGTATGTACAATGTATGTACAATGTATGACCCTGAAAACAAAATATTCTAATGTGATGTGCACTTCTAATAAGTTTTGTAAATTATCTAAATTAAAACTTTCTGAAATGTTTTGCCGTATATCAAATTAAAATGATTTCAATCGTGACTTCTCGTATTAAAGAGATATTAAGCAAAGGAATTGAGTCTTTGCCATAAACTCAAATTTTCGAAAACCAATATCTCAGCAACCTGATGGTGTAAATCTTTGATATTTCAAACTTAGATTTTTTTGTCTAAATACATTTATAGTTTAAAATATCTAAGGTTTACGACTTTGGGTTGCAAATATACAGGGATTAGAAAATCAGAGATTGTGACAAAGAATCAATTCCTTTGTGTACTTCCTCATTTCTAAACCCGTATAAAATCTCATGCCTAAAATCCAAACTAGAGAAGCTAGGAGGTCATAAAGTTGTATCAGTTGTGGAATAAACCTCTCTCGCCTAGGGGAGTATGACCCCACTCTAAATTTCAAAATAAAAAATTGCTTAAATTGAACAAAAAATTGCTTATTTGGCAACAAACAGGTGGATGACTGCCAAATAAACAATTTGTGTCGCTAATTCGGCAGATATTTCTTGCCAAATATGAGATTTTTTTATTTCAAAATTTTAAATGTGAAAACTTTCTAAAAACGAAAAAAAGAAACACCCTGTTATCTGGTTTTTTTTCTTACAGGGCGAGGCAACAGAATGAGATTCTTCTTTAGAGATCTTAGGAAAGTACAAAGTAAAAAAATCTGTATATTTTGAATTTTTAATCCAAACAAATTAAATACTTTCCACAAACTCTAAATTTTGTAAATCTATATCTTTGCTACATGATGTAAATCGTTGATATTTCAAACTTAAAATTTTATTAATCTATCAGGATTCATAGTTCAAAATGTCAAAGCTGTACGACATAAGATTGAAGAAATATAGAGATTTAACAAAACTTGAGTTTGTTTCAATATATCGCGCAGTTATAGTTCAATATATCCTTGTCACAGCAAGCTGTGTCTTAAGATCACAATTTGACCAATTAAACAAGCATTTTTTGCTTTGTATCTTTCATACTATTTTTTCATTTTAAATGAAAAAGTTTAAAAAGACAATTCCTAAGTCTGAAGATTTATAAAACAAAATGCATTTGAATTTAAATTGTATGAACCAAACACATCTAGCACGGTTAGCAGAGGGTTTTATTTTTGAATTCATTTTGTTGATCGACGCTGATTCGCTAGATTCACAATCTCTGCTTTTCTAATCCTAATATCTTTTCAACTTGACGGTGAAAGCCTTTAATATTTCAAACTTATTTGATTATTTGAAATATCAAAGGTCTCAGGCATTAGGTAGCAAAGATATAGCGGTTTATAGAAAATTAGAGTTTGTGGCAAAGAATCAAATCCTTTATCATAAAATCAAAACTTTTAATATCAAAAGGATGGCGAAGAAAAGAATTGATTACGTATAAAACAACTCAGAATCTCTTATATCCTCCTCAAGTGGTAATTCAATTGATCTTGATGTTTAGTTCGTATCATATGTATTTATATTGCACATGCATGGGGGGTCCCAAAAACAACTTTTCAGTAGGAGTTCTATCGCATTTTACTTTTCTTCAAAAAATTCAAATTTTCTTTGACAATAATAGTTAAAACCGGTAATATAAACGCCTTCATTCTTCTTTTCAAATTTAAAATACCACTAAGGACTTCCATGACATTTTCTATTGTTTTGCTTATAAGTCTACACTTTTCATGATAGGGATATATTAGTTGAAAATATTAGTTTTCATGAAGAGAAATAAGTTATATGTACTGATACTATCAGACAAAGCTTTTTAAACTACCCTTGTGAATCGGACCGTCCCTTCAATAAGCACTCTATGTACTGGTAATCAGAAGAGACAGAGCAACAAATATTATCTTTAACAGACTTGACATTGAAGGAACTGTTCAGCTCTTGAACTTCCAGGTACAGTCTTCACTGTTCATTCGTCGAACAAAATCGGCGAAATCCTGAATATAAATACCGGCAAAGAAACACTGATAAATACATCCAAAGAGAAATACAATGCCCTCTGAAAATCTATTTTTAGGTTGAAAAAAATTTTTGCTTTATTTTTGGAAGTTTTTAACTTTTAAGGATTTTTACTTTTTTTTAAATTGCAAAATTTTATTTTATAATTTCTAATTTTTTGGGACATTTTTATATATTTTACAAATTGTTTAAAATATTTTCGAATTCCTCAAATATATCTTAAAATATTTAGGATATTTTTTAATATATTTTGTTAAAACTTTAAAATATTTTGTATTAATTTTCAGATATTTTTTAGATGTTTAGGAATTTTTTTTTAATTTTAATAGTTTTCAAATATTAAGATCAATTATTTGGTTTTTTGGGATAAATTCAAAAAAATATTTTTAATATTTTTCTACAGTGAAACCCTAAATAACGAATACATCTGAAGAATTTATCAAATGTCGTCTTGACAATTTTTCAATAAGTTTTATACTATATTACGTAAATTTAAGTATTTGCAAAAATAAATAAATAACCATAGATATGCGGGAACAGTTTTAAAGAGTTCCATATAATCATTTCATTAAAAAAACTAAATATCTGCAACATTCCATTATCAGAAAGTGAAGAATACGACATTTGATGAATTCTTTCGATGTATTCGTTATGAAGGGTTTCACTGTATATTTTTTCAATTATTTAGGATATTGCTTCGTTGAGAGTCGTGAACTCACAGATACAGTTTATACAAGAGATAGATTTCTTCCATGTTGGTAAATCAAATTAAATTAATTCAAATATTGTTTTAAAAAACAGTGAGATCCAAAAAACTATGGAATAGGAAGACGACTTTTTAGACTCAAGATATTACTTAATGAAAAGGAGACACACCAATTGTGCCGTATCAACACACGTAAATAAAGTAAATTGCAAGTAAAATCAAAATCTTTTAAGTTTTCAATAATAACCTTAAAGAGAATAGATTAGTCAAGAGAGGAATTGACTCGAAAAAAGTGTAAAACCACCATTTTGTTTTACTGTTTTCATACTGGCAGGTGTACTTCAAACATTTGAGACATATAACCTTTTGGGCCCTGGAACATCTTTTTATAGAAAAATGTTTTTTTAAATTATTTCATTTTTCCTTAATCAATTCTCTGACAAACTGTCATGCAATCCCTAGTTCATCTTCGCATAAGTTTCGATAAAAAATAAATTTAATATTTTTTATTAAAAAAACATATTTGTTAATTTGAGGTAATCAAATATTAAAACCAAAGTTTTTGAAATACTCAAGATACCAAAACATCAAAATTGAGGATGAGGAAGGTAAATGGCCATTCACTCTTTAATTGCAATTTGATAACTTGTATGCAATGGGACCCATTTTGCCATTTTGCTTTTAGTAAAAATTATTTATGGGTTTTCGTGCAAGCCTAATATTTTAGTCTTACATCTATTTATGGTTTCTAATCTACAACTCAAATCTCAACATAAAATCAACTTATGATGCATGACTTATTATTCTAAGATTCTTCCAGTTAAAAAGACAATTTTTGTGTTAATGCAAAGCTTTGCAAAAGCTCGTAAGGGGAAAAAAATAGAGGAAGAAACCCCCGAACGAACCATGGCCGAAAACACTGCCTCCTGCAGGTCGGAACAGCTCAAGAATTGGACGAGGATAACAATCTTAAACTTAAACTTCTTATCCCCAAATTCACTATTCTTTCATCCTACAATCAGCTACTACTGGAGCTAATAAGCTAAACATCAGCTACTCCTATAGCTAATAAGCTAAACCTTAGCTAATCCTGTAGCTAATAAGCTAAACCTTAGTTACTCCCGGAGCTAATAAGCTAAACCTTAGTTACTCCTATAGCTAATAAGCTAAACCTCAGATACTCCCGGAGCAAATAAGCTAAACATCAGCTACTCCTGTAGCTAATAAGCTAAACCTTAGTTACTCCTGGAGCTAATAAGCTAAACCTCGCAAATAAGCTAAACCTTAGTTACTCCTGGAGCTAATAAGCTAAACCTCGGCTACTCCCGGGGCAAATAAGCTAAACCTTAGTTACTCCTGGAGCTAATAAGCTAAACCTCAGCTACTTCTGGAGTTAAGAAGCCTCCAGAAGCTAATCAACTAAACTGCTAGCTACTCCTGGAGCTAATTAGTTACACAGCTACTACCGGAGCTAATCAGCTAAAGCGCTACTTCTGAAGCTATCAAGCAACTCAGCTACCATCTTTAACCTACTCGTAGGTATTCTGAACTCCTTTTCAGGCTTAAAGGGACTGACAAAATTCATACAGAGGGATCGTTTAAATTTCTTTCTATTCTAATCTCTGTTCTGCGATCATAACTCCTCTGATTAAAGATCTATCGTGAAGAACGAAAATGTCTTTGTTTTCTAATATATATAATATATAACCGGATAAATTTGCTTAATTTAAACACCTAGAGGAGCTACAAGGACACCAAGTCGAACCAGTAATTTCACAAACATTTGACCTTCTCCTCCTGTCTTATAGTTTGCAGTGAACAGACCCATTTCACTTAATAAGTGGTATAATAAGTGGTATAATAAGTGACAAGTAAAACTACGTTTTTGGAACAGCATCAAATACACTTTAAAGTATTGCTAGTTTGTCATCTTCTATTCTACAGTTTTCTGGTTCTCACTGAATAGTGTCCACAAACTTTATAATAATATAATAGTGTCATAAATAGTTGAAAGTGTTTAGAATGAGTTTTGAAAAATTTAATAAAAACTGCAAAATATCGAAAAGTGGAATTTCAGTGAAAATAATTCAAAAATAATCTAGAAATTAAATTTAATTTTTCCTCCTGATCAGCTGAAAGCAATATTCATGATTATTTATCTTAAAAATAAAAAACAACGAAGCTATCCTCAATACAATCGATTTTGAAACAATTTAAAAAATACATTTTTCAATAATGATGAATGTTAAGGCGCCAAAAAGTGGAATTCCTTAATCTATATATAAATTTGGCTTGTCTGTCAGTTTGTTTGTCTGTTTGTTTGTTTGTATCCAATAAACGTCAAAACGGCTGAACCGATCGGGCCCAAATTTTTGGTGAATGATTGAAATTTTAAAAATTTGTGTTTGAAAGGTTTTTAATTTTGTAAAAAATTTAAATTTTTTAAAATCCGCGAAATTTTTTTTTAAAATCCGCAAAATTTTTTTAATTTTTGTTTTAAAATGTAAACAAAAAGAACATGTTCACAATTTAAATAGAAGATGGGCGCGAAGCGCCCTAAAAGCCTAAAAAGAAGGGCGCGAAGCGCCTTGAATTTCTACTTTTGAATAAATTTATGAGCACTCATCAATTTTGTAAATTGTCCTAATTCACCAAAAAGGTTTTCACTCTCGCAAATAGAAAAACTAAGGTTTGGAAATTAATTTCGATATATTTTATATCCTCTTCAGTTCTAGAGAAAATGACCAAAATTATTACATTATAACGATATAAAAATAAAAATAAACTATAACGATATAAAAAAATATTGTGAAAAGTAATGAAAATTAAATTTTTGCAAGCATTTTGGCCAACCTTAAAGAATGGTTGCATTATTTATTATTTTCAATACTTTCAAACTGGTTGTATAATAAAATAAAAGCTAAAAATATTGAATTAAAAAAAATCTATTGATTGAATTAAAAAAATAATTAATGAGCTGTCAGATTTTAGTTTAGGTTTCATGTTTGACACTTTTCTATTTTCTATTTTCTAGATCGATGTTACAGTTCTATATCTGATGGTAGACCTGTATCCTGCTCTCAGCAGAATTTATTCTCTCAGATATATAATCCAAATAATATTCCGAGGTAACCAATTGGACAGTTCTACAATTGTACAGGTGCTATGGAAACGCCTCAACACGGAAACGTCTCAACACGGAAATGCCTCAAAAATAAGCAGAAACCCCTCAAAAACCGGTTTTTTGAGACGTTTCTGCAATTTCTGCAAGATAAACGGAAATCCCTCAAAACCCAGTTTTTGAGGGGTTTCCTCTTTATTTTGAGGCGTTTCCTAAAATTTTTGAGGGGTTTCCGCTTTTCACCTGACAATTATTTTTGAGGAATTTCCCAATATTTTTGAGGGATTTCCCAATATTTTTGAGGCATTTCCGCAAAATTTTTGAGGCGTTTCCGTATTTTNGGAAACGCCTCAACAAAATAAAGTTTAAAAACTTTTTTCAAAAAACGGAAACGCCTCAAAAAAAACGGAAACGCCTCAAAAAAAAGAGGAAACGACTCAACAAAATAAAGTTTTAACATTTTTTTCAAAAAACGGAAACGCCTCAAAAAAAACGAAAACGCCTCAACAAAATAAAGTTTTAAAAGTTTTTTCAAAAAACGGAAACGCCTCAAAAAAAACGGGAACGCCTCAAAAAAAAGAGGAAACGCCTCAACAAAATAAAGTTTTAAAACTTTTTTCAAAAAACGGAAACGCCTCAACAAAAAAAACAGAAACGCCTCAAAAAAAGAGGAAATGCCTCAACAAAATAAAGTTTTAAAACTTTTTTCAAAAAACGGAAACGCCTCAAAAAAAGGAAACGCCTCAAAAAAAAAGAGGAAACACCTCAACTTTAAATATTAGGAAACGCCTCAAAAATATTAGGAAATCCCTCAACATTTTCCAGTTTTGAGGGATTTCCCAAAAAAACGGAAATTCCTCAAAACCGGTTTTTGACGCATTTCCGCGTTGAGACGTTTCCGTGTTGAGGCGTTTCCATAGCACCATTGTACATGTATACATCAAGGAGTATGGAATAGAAGGGAGATATAACTGACGCGGCCCGCCCTACCATTTACAATATACATGCTATACATGCTTTGCAGACGGTACTTTATTTGATTAAGAAATATTTGTCTGATGTACAATTACCGCGCATTCAATAATCTATTCTGAATATTTCTTATACAAATGTAGTACCATCTGCAAAGCATGCATAAACAAGGGCGGTCCGCGTCAGTTGTATCTTCCCTTCAATTTCATACTCTTTGGTATACATTGTTGAAAGCGGTATCGTATCTAAAAATACAATAGTTGTATGAATCTATTGTGTACTTTTTCATTCTTCCTCACTGCATCGCGAATTTCATTATAAACGTTCTATAAAGTAATCATCGTGCGATAAAGTTAAATTAGCTGTACATTAGCACGTGTGCTATGAAGTTTTGAATGGTTGCTGGATTTTCTCCCAAAAATTTAGGATTTTTCCAAAATATTTGTTTTCATTTGAAATGAAAATAAACTTGTAATCAACTTTAGATTTTGACTTCTGCTTTGTTTCAAAGCTTATTTCAAGGATGTAAGGCAAGGAAAGTCATTTCAGAAGTGTACACATCTTTTACTGCAGTGTACTGTCTCTGGGTGATAAGGTTAAGACAGAGTTCTAGAGCTTTAGTCTAGAGAGTTTTTTGATAGAGTATAAATGTTTTTCAAAGAGGGCTAGAAGTTAGTCAGCGCTGATGTAAACACAAGACGGATGTCGAAGCCTGACATGGGATCCATCATTCATATAAAAAATCAATGAAATATTCTGGTCATAGGAAATTATTATGTGAATTATCAAAATTATAAAAATTTAATGCTTTTAACCTCCTCGGACACTAAACGAACACTGATGCATCTATTATTGTTTACAAATTCCGCCAGGAGAGAACTGGTTTCAATATGTACACAGAGTATACACAACCGCAATTGACTTTCCTTGCCTTACATTCTTGGTTTATTTGATCTAAAAATAGCCATTGAAATAAGACAAGTAGACAAACGTTTCAAAAAATACCTATGACACTATTATTTTGGCACGACTTGCTTTTAGAGTATATTAAATCAGATTAAATCTTACAAGGCTAGAACCTTATCGATAAAGAGAAAATTTGTGTGCAAAAACTTTATAACACCTCGAACCAAAATAACAGTGCTATAATTAGTTATTTCGTTTCATTTTGGATTTTTAAAAACTAACGAAGTGTAAGTTTTTAGATTTTAAAAACAAAAAACGAATAGACGAAACCATTTAAAAATCTAAATTTTTGAGAATTTTTATTTTAAAATATTAAACACCTTCTATAGGTCCAGGTTTAGTCTTGACAACAAATTTGAGCCCGAAAAGTTTTGACAAACAATTTTTGAAATGAATGAGTTTCTATTTACAAATTGTTTCAAAAATATCTAGTTAACGCTGTATTTAAACAAAAGAAACAAAATATGTGATTAATCTTTTATTACGAGAGAAAGATGTTTAACTATTTACATTTTGGTTAGTTCCTACCCTCCTGAGCCACCAACCCGGCCCACCTTGTATCCGTATCCTACTAGAACCACCCTGTATCCTCTACCCTACCCTACCCGGAGCACTGAGTATCCAACAAGATATCCACCAAACCCAACCAGTTTCTACCAGGCATAGTAAGGGTTTTGTTACTTAATTTTATGTTTCTTTTTATATTGGGCACAACTATAGAGAGGAACCAGAACCAGTGACCATGTCAAGATTTGAACTTTGAGAATACCTTTTTAAAAAAGCTTAAATTTCGTCATCCTATTTGACAGTTGTATGGGTACCACTGAATAAATGGCGGAACTAAACTTGGGCATAATTAATTAATAATTTTGTACATTTTTACTGCTAAAGGTCTTGAAAAATTTATACATTGTTTTAAGAATTTTTATTATTTTTTTTCAAGTACAACTGAGTCCTCTGCTCTACCTTACAGTTCACAAGTTACCAATAATCCGCTCTTTATAGTAGGGATGGTCTTACTGGTGAGATATATATGTATATAGTAAACGCCTACTCCACAACAATTTCTCGAACACGTAATTATCCGGGTACAATTCAGATTCTCTTGACAACATATGGCTACAATCTTGTGAACTATCAACGCCACTACAACTGGGTGCAATCTCGTTAGCTATGGATGTTAACCAAACACTAGCAATTAATTGATCAAGCCAAAACTCAAGGCAACTATCTCAATTTGTATGTTTCAACGAAACCAAATTACTCCCAATCATAGCTGAGTCTCTATATCAACTTAGCTATATTTCTTCAGTTTAGATTAGAATTGGGCCTTTGCAGCGCAATTACAAGTTATACGCTGTTATATATATCGTGTAGTTATAGTTATGCAATCACAATATGGGTATGACAGAGTTATAAATATATATATAAATCTACATATTTGATTTAGTTAATCGCAATACATGATTTACGTAATTACTGATGGGCACATGTAGCTATATGGACAATGTACAACATTATTAATAAGGACCTCTATATTTGCTACATAATCAGAGCAGCTTCTCTTAGCCTATATTACATCCATGGTGTCAATTTTCTTAATTTAACTTCGCGAATTTTATCCAAAACTACTCATCAGATCTGTTCAATATTTTAAGGTGTGTAAGAAATAATATATTCCTGCACTTTTATTTTTGTACTCATCTAATTTTGAGTAAAAATTTGTTTTGCAGACTTTTTAAACAGTATCTCAGATTGCGTATTAAGAAAAATAAAATATTTCATACATATTTGTCAATAATGAGATTACCAAAAAAAATACTTTATTACATGCAAGATCTCACTATTCACTCTTTTTTACTCACCCTGTATATAAGCGCGCTGGAAAAGTTTTATTATATAGAGCATAATATTCATTTAAGATATTTTCTTGATTATAATTTCCTAGATTGGTTTAATGATGGACAAATTATAATAAATTGACGCGGACGTCATCTTTTAGAAATATGGAAAATTCCCAGATTTAAATTGTTATGATTTTACAAGAAGAGATTAGTATTGTGATGCACAATGTTCTCTTCTCAGGTGCATGGTTCATTACAAGTTTAGAAACTTATACTGCAAAGTAAGATTAGGCTGTGCAACCATCAAGTTTTCCAGTATAGATAAATTTTACAAAAACAGTTTCAATAATCAAACTTCTCTAATAAAGAACATTTTCTCGAGAATATTTGACAAAATAATCTCTGCACGGTTGATAACATTTTTAAAACATTTGAATTAATAAAATTTTAGATAGAACTTTTAAACCTAGAGTCAACCCATCTAAAAATCAATGCTTATTTGAATATTTAGATATTCATTTTGGATTTTTACAAAGTATATATAAATTCTCTTCATCTTTAGTAGTCAACTCTTTTTTGCTCCATCTCTTGCTCCATTCTTGCAAAAATAAGAGAACAATAATAAAAAGGGACCTTTTTTGAATTAAGAGCGAAAAAATACCTAAATTTCTGCTTACAACAGATCATAAACTTTTTAATTGAATAAAAACCAAGAAAAAACGCTAAATCATATGATTGGATAATTTTAATTTATCTAGTATATAGGAAATTTTGTAGCAGCAAAAATGTAGCAATAATTGATAGTTATATTTTCCCCTAGAAAAAGTGCAAAATGTGTTTTAAATTGGTCTAAGTCAGCTCCGGCTCTCTCCTGATTGGTTTGATTTTAAAATTGGCGTTCTGACAGGGGTTTCCGATGCAAGTGGATTTTACTTGCTCACAATGTGATGTTTGATAATAGATTAAACTACTCTCGGTTGACCACAACCATGTCATATGGGATTTCTTCATGTCAAGCAAAAGTAATTTTGAATTTATTATTAAAAGTAAAATTTGAATTTATGTTTTCAATCCTAACTTCTCTTAAAGAAGAGCTATTGCATTTCTAATATGTAACCGGATATATTTTTTTGCTAACGCTTCTAATAAAATCAAAACTAGAGAAGCTACGAGGTCACAAAGTTGCACGAGCAATATAGGATAAATTTGAGCTTCTCCTTCTCTATATAGTGTCTATCCGTTGTGTCTTTCGTCACCCGTGTCTATCATTCCGTTAAACCCCAATTTCTCTGCTGAATGTTTACGTGTTTTTTTTTATTCACCATTGAAAGGTAGATTTCACTAGCGATGTTAAATTTGACCTTTTTTTAAAGGATTTTCTCGCCATTTTCTGCATATTTTTAAAAATGAATTTTCATTCTTCATTGGGTTGCATAAACTTTGCTTTCTTAGCTTGAGAGCAAATCGTACATCATTTGATAGATTCTTTAATAAATGGGTGTGTGGAATTATCTTCTAGAATATGAAAAAAAACGTCTAGAACAAAAGACATGAAATTGTCTACAGGGTTCATCACAGAGATGAGATTGTAAAGACGACCCAAAACTCTAAAAATATGATGATTTAAAGCTTGTTTTTTGGTTTATGATTTCAGTTGAGTATTTGATGATTTACTTAATGAGCTAGTTTTGGCCTTCAAAGAACCCCGAATGTAAGGAAATGGTTTTAAAAAGTTCAGTAAAATTTTCTCTAAAGTCTCATCCTTTGAGAGTAACCCTGTATTTACTGTCCTCTGACCATAATACAGTTTCTAAGTATAAGAAAATTTCAAAATTAATGCAAAAAAATCGATAATATAAAAATAATATTTCTGAAGAAAAAAATAATTCTGTTTATTATTGAAGGCTGCTGTTTTTGTGATTGGTATTCCGGTTGTGCTTTTCGTCAGACATCAAAACAGGTGAAATACCATTTTTTTAAACCCTGAAAGGAAGCGTGGAGCGAAGACGTTGTTTCAAGGGTTCCTTTATTTAACTATTTTCTGCCCGATTAACAACAGTACCATTTAAAGCTTTGCATGATCTAGATCCATGTTTTATACTTTGAAAATTGATTTTTTTTAGTTCAGGATTGATAAGATAAAGTGTTAATGGGTACCGTTGTAAATTAGGCATGCCTAGAACTGGTTAACGTACCGTTAACGAATGGTGGGCTTCTAAAATTAACCGAAAGATTTCTTAAATTTAGCGAACGGCAAAAATATGTTGATTTTCAGATTGTCAAGGAAGAAAATAAATATGCTAAAATTAAGAACCGGTGCGTTTAAAAATAACGAAAACTTTTGTTAATTTTTCTGCTGAAAGAGGCAATATTTTAAATAAAATTGTAAAACGTTTGATTTTAGCTTTTTTACATAGCCTTGTTAAGTTTGATAACTTACAATGTCCGTGCCTAATGCTCTATATAATTTAAATCGAAATTCGCTAATAATCTTTTTAAAAACATTTTTCAAAACTTAGCCAATACATTGTACAATTTTGAAAACAACAAATCATATATCGTGAAACTTTAAAGAGCAATGTGACTTCATTTTGAACTGTTATGAAAGAGGAGGCACATGGCGCGTTGGACTTCCGTCAGAAAACTGGTTTCTGCGCTCTCACCTGGATCCGGCCTCATCAGCTGATTCAAGTAGACCCCCCTCAAGAACACTAGAGACCTCTCGTGGTAGAACTGGGACAGAAAATGCGGGAAGAGAATCCCCCATTTCCATTAGTTCGTTCCACTTGGCTCAAGTTACCTCAAGATAATGTTTGTATTGTAATTTGTGTACAAAACTAAAATTTGCATTTATGTATGTACACTGTACACTGTACACTGTACAGGGTATCCCAAAAATTTGGAACATGAGTAAATTGTCTTAAATTTTTACAGTAATCACAAAAGACTTTTTTACAACTCCTGACTAAAAATGTGATCTAAGCCTTACAAACTGGCAAAATATTGAACATTTTGACAATATATTATGACAAAAAGATAGGAGACAGTCTTATAGTTGCCAATCAATTCCTATTTGAACATAATTTCTTAGAACCAATTTGTTCCCGCTTATTTATCTATTATCGATCCAATAATTGCTCTCAATCAGGGAGAAAATGCATTTTACCCTTCATAATTTAGTGGATATAAAAATAAGAAATTTATCAGAAACATTCTGACGCAAGCTCGATTACAAAGAAACATTATTTAAAGTGAATCTTAATATGGTTCTTGGGCCCCTTTTTGGTAAACTTTTATCTTTAAAGGGAGTGTTCGCGAAAAATGAAAGGGGGTATAGGCTTAATGCGATAAAAAAGCGCTTTTGATCGCTTCTAATCTTACTTCTATCTGCTGAGTCTATAAGGAGAAAATTGTTAAAGACGTCTCATACCGATTAACTTAGCGACCATACAAATTGAGAAAATTGCAACATTCTACTTAGACCGTAAAAAATCAATTTAATTTCAAACAAATCATTTCGATATTACAACCTATAGTCATCAATTATCTTTCGCCACATTTGTATATAGTTTATATTTTATAATATTTTCTAATTAATTTGTTTATTTCTCTTGTCGCTTGCGCAACTATCTAAGAATGCCGCACACCACTCACAATTTTCGAAATCCATTGAAAACGGGTTTCTAAAAAATAAAATATTATAAAATATAAACTATATACAAATGTGGCGAAAGATAATCGATGACTATATGTTGTAATATCTGAATGATTTGTTTGAAATTAAATTGATTTTTTACGGTCTAAGTAGTATGTTGCAATTTTCTCAATTTGTATGGCCGCTAAGTTATTCGGTATGAGACGTCTTTAACAATTTTCTCTTTATAGACGCAGCAGATAGAAGTAAGATTAGAAGCGATCAAAAGCGCTTTTTTATCGCATTAAGCCTATACCCCTTTTCATTTTTCGCGAACACTCCCTTTAAACTGATGCTATTCAAGTTGCCAGTTTCGTCATTCTCCAATAAACAATAGTTTATTTTTTTCTATTTAAACTTTGGCACTTTTTTCGGACAAAAGTCGAATTTGACATTTCATAAACCTTCCTTTGGGTGATTTGAGTTGCCACAAAAAATGTGGGCCGATTGGTGCAATCTTTTTTACTTTAATTGTAAACAGACAAACAGACAAACAGACCAGCAAAGGAATTGAGTCTTTGGAACAAAATCAAATATTTAAACCCCAATATCTTTAGAACTCGATGTTGTAAACCTTTGATATTCCAAACTCAGATTACTTGATCTAACAGAATTCATAGTTTGAAAAATCTAAGGTCTGCAACATTTTGTTCCAAAGATATAGTGATTAGAAAATCAGAGTTTGTGGCAAAGACTCAATTCCTTTTTTAAACATGGTATGTTCGAAACACAATGGCACGCTTAAAAGTTTAGTCTGATCAAGTCTAAACGAGAAATCCATGTTTTTACTTGACAATTAATTACTTTCAACTTTGGTTTATCTATTGGTTTATCATCAGTAATTGTGGATTTATGATGCAGAAACAAAAAAGGAAGGTGTCGGAATTAAACACTTTTAAAAGCAAGAAAAATGTTAATTTGCTCCGAGTTATGTTATGGAACAGTTAAATGTTTGAAGTGCACCGTCGCAAATGAAGATTCCTTGTAATTACAAATACAGCAATGTTACTGATGTCTTTATAAGCTATTATCTCTTTTTTATTTATCTAAACTCTAGTGTTATTTATCAATTTAATCTGTAAAGACACCCACAAAAATATGTTAGAAGTTGATGAGGACAGCTCATAAAATGCTCACTAATATTTTTGAATCAGTTTAAATTGTGTATAGAAATAAGAAAATCAATTTAACAAAAACAAACGCTATGTTTAAAACTTTGTGTAATTTTGTGAAAAGGTCCCTGTATAACCCTGCAAACATTTTATCTCCGACAAACCGATGCCAAACATATATAAAGTCCAAAATTATTTACCAGCCATCTTCGCCATCGGCACAAATAGTCGGGTAAAATGTTTCCTGGGATTTTTTGTTAAAAAAAAATAATTAAAATGTACAAATCAAAATACCGCGCGATAGAATGTAATCGATCGTTTAAAGTTTCTTGTTTTTAATTTTGCTTCAGATTTCCTATAGCTTATAATAGTGCATGCTAATGTAAATGTATTAACTATTCTGCACAACATTTTTTTGCGCAATGCGAGCAAAAAAATTTGCCTAAATGTTAGGTAATATACTGATTAAATTAAGAGTTATTTTAAGCAGTGAAAATGAACTCTGAACCATGCATTTAAATTATTTTTAACTGAATAAATTCCTTATTTTTTTGGTAAATATTAATTTTATTTTTAAAACAAATAAGTCGAAGTTTTGCTTCTTTATTCCTCCTGCGAACCCATTCCTTCTGGTGAAATTTTACAAACGACGTTACGCTCTTATTTAGAAATTATACACCGAAAAATACGTCTCATTGTTATCAAATTAGTCCTAAAATGGATGTTCCAAGTTTTATTTATTTCTTTAGGCTGGATCCAGATGTTGAATTGTTCAGCTAGTTGTGCAAATCAACCCTCACCTTAGAATTGGGAGAAGACTAATATTTTGAACAATGTCATTTTTGAACAAAATTCATCACTACAATTTTAAATAAAAATCACCGGTTACACTTTTATTTTCACATTAGATTTTTACATGGTGCTTATTATTATTATATCATATAATTGTTATTATTACAAAACAAGTCTCATTTAAATCAAAAGTCAAGGATTAAAATTTATAATTATCGGCCAAACTGGAATTGGCCGTCAATTATTAAATAAATGTGGAGAGTCAAATTAAGCTTCTTGTTCTTGTCCGTAGTAAGATACAAGGCCGACGAGGGTTACAAAGTCAGGAGAAGCATTTTGTTCATCTAGTTTCTTCTGAACATTCGTAGCTATATCAGGGGGCAGAATCTCAAGCAGGGTCTACATACATTATTATTATTATTATTATTATTATTATTATTATTATTATTATTATTATTATTATTATTATCATTATTATTATTATTATTATTACTATTATTATTATTATGATTATTATTATTATTATTATTATTATTGTTATTATTATAAATTGTAATTTTTTATAATTTACCTTAGCAGCCAATTTTCTCATGCTGTTGTTTTTAATTGGTCCTCTTGGTAGATCAGCATAGGTTAGGAAAGCAAACTCATAGATGGTTCTAAATCATGGAGTATATATAACTCATAGATGGTTCTAAATCATGGAGTATATATAACTCAGAGATGGTTCTAAATCATGGAGTATATATATAACTCATTGATGGTTCTAAATCATGGAGTATATATAAATCATAGAAAATTTGTCAAAACCGTGCGCATGCTAACGCCTTTTGATGAATGCAAACACTTTAATAATAATAATTTAATATAATCTCTCTTTTTCAATATTTCTTAAGTGTAAATCTGTGCTTGAATATGCTGTATTTTAATTCTTCCAATCCCAACCATGTATTGTAAAAATTGGAGAAAACTGCAATGTTTTAATTTTAGCCAAAACAAGTTTTCCCTTCATTTAACATGATATGAAATTAATATCTGACTGATATACCACTTTCAGAGAATTAATATTGATAGCGATTCATAAAATTTAATCTTTCTTTGAAAAGAATATTGGTTGCTATATCTATCTATTTTTTATTCCATTTTACCTGATAAGTGTTGCCATGTTTTCCTTATAATTTGGCGCATTTATCAATTCCTTCAAAGTATTCAGCTTCGCAGGATCAACCTTGAAAATGCGCAATTTAGCTTAAAATCACGTGGGGACCAGAAATGGCAGCCATTTTGAATATGACTGTTTACCTGTCTGTACCACTCAAGCTTGTCTTTTCCTTCTTCAATCATCACTCGTAGCTCTTTATGTTCATCCATCCACTAGAATTCATCAAAATAAATTTAAAAATGTTTTTTTTTTGCTCAAGACATTAATGATAAAAACAAACCTGGACAAAACTTTTCTGAAATCCCTCTGGACCATGTGCCCTAGCGTAGGTAGCAAAGCAAATCAAGTAGAAATATCTAAACATTGTTACACGGCGTAAATTAGAATATTTGAGTTATGTAAATTAGAATATTTGAGTTTATATAATGTTACACGGCGTAAATTAGAATATTTGAATTTATATAATGTTACGCGGCGTAAATTAGAATATTTTAGTTTATATAATGTTATATAATGTAAATTCGAATATTTGAGTTTATATAATGTTAAACGGCGTAAATTAGAATATTTGAGCTTATATAATGTTAAACGGCGTAAATTAGAATATTTTAGTTTATATAATGTTAAACGGCGTAAATTAGAATATTTGAGTTTATATAATGTTACACGGCGTAAATTAGAATATTTGAGTTTATATAATGCTACACGGCGTAAATTAGAATACTTGAGTTTATATAATGTTACGCGGCGTAAATTAGAATATTTGAGTTTATATAACTCTACAATTTTTAATGAAACCAAGGGAAAAATTTTAATACAATTTTTTTTTCTTCAATTATCTTTCTTCTTTCTTTCGCTTATTTTGATGCTAAAATTTTTCATTCAGAGATAAGGAAAATCCTGATCCTATGCCCTAGTGATGTTTCAGGTAATGGAATAAAGATAAAATGTCTATATAAATTTTAGATTTTTAAAGTATATAAAATTTTGTGAAATATATGTCAACTTAATAGATTAGTTTCAAGTTAAAATGGAAAACTTTTCAGTGAATGTTGAAAATTTGAAATTATGACAATTTAATGAAATTATTAAGTTTCTAATCTTGTTTCCTTTTCAATTTTTCAAAAATACATTTTCAACTTTTCATTTTCATTTTGATTTCTGTTTGGAATTTTGATAATTAAAGTTGGAAGTCAATTCAATTCATTCTGATGATACAGGATATATGTAGCAGCGAACAGTTTAGCGAAAAGAAAAATTTGAAAATGCATCAGAATTAGGGTTTCCAGCGAACGAAAACTTTAGTAAAAAAATTTGGATTTACACAATTTTTCAATTTTGTTGTAAGTTTCGGTAACTTTGACTTGGATCATTTTAACACCTTCCCCACGAAGCTTAACACTTTTTAAAGAATTACAATAAATTTTAAGAAGTTGAGTCTTTGCCACAAACTCTGATTTTCTAATCCATATTTCTTTGCAACACAATGTCGTAGACCTTAGATATTTCAACCTTTGAATTCTGTTAGAAAAAATAATCTAAGTTTGACATATCAAAGGTTTATATTATCAGGTTACACAGATACAGAGATTACAAATTTTGAGTTTGTGGCAAAGTCTCAATTCCTTTAAAAGCAACTGATACCAAATTGCCCCACCCCCTTCCTCCTCTACCCTGTAAACCTATCTAGATGAACCTTTGATGATCATCAAGTACGTTCACAATAGTTCTACAGAAAAGTGAATTTCCCCTTGAGGGAAACAAGGAAAACAAGATAAAAACGTTGAATAGAAATTTATTAGATTTAGCACTATCTCCGTTGGATACATCACATCCAGGGGTTCTTTAGTTTGTAAGGTACAGGGTTACCCACAAAGGATGAGACATCAGAGACGACTGTACGGAAAATATACTGTCTGTTTCTTTATATTTATGGTTCCATGAAACTCTAAACTTGTTCCTTTCTTTGTCCAATCATTAAGATGCTATAAAAGACTATATTTGAGACAGAAAACTTAAAACAACCTTAGAATTGTCATATTTAATGTGGTTTAGGTCGTCTTTCTAGTCTCAACATTTATGTGTAACCCTGTAGATCCTGTAGATAAAGACAAGACAAACATTTTATAAAAGGTTTAGAATGTGCTTTCAGAATCTGCAAAAAATTTGCAAATTAGACAAAATTCCAAAATGTATTTAAAAATGAAATCAACACGATAATCTCTGAACGTTATACTCATGGGCCTTGGCGCGCCATGCAGCCTTCACCACTAAATTTAGCAAAAATTCTTTAAAAATGTGAAAAACACAAGAAAATTTGAAATGTGCAAATTCACTTTTGTGTGATTAAGTTTTGAAATTTTTTTTTGAAAAACGTTATTCCTTTCATTAACGGGTTGATAAAAAAACTAACAACCGGAAGTAGGTTTAAAATAAAACATTTGAAAAAACAGGCCTGCCATCGTTACGGAGACTCAGAAAGTTGGTTAAAGGCCTGGGGCGAAGGTTTTAAGAGTTTATCAAGAGTGTTTCCTAGTTAGGAATTTTAGAAACTCCTTTTTTTTGAGAACAGACTCTCTTTCAATCAGAAATTTCAGAACAAGAAAAATAAGTGCTATTTAATATTTAATAAACTGCTGTTCAAGGTGTTTTCGATTAACTAGATTTCCTATGGCCTCGACCAGCGAAACCCAATTAATCTAAAAAATATTTTTCTGCAAAACTCGGCTGAATTTAACAGTTAAAAGGAGTTGAATTTAAAGTAAACATTTGCAAGAAATTTTAGTTTTTATTAAATTATATATGTATGTATATATACGCAACCTGGTGTCTAGACCATTTATGTTTTCTTGCCTCTGCTTTTTCAATATTGACAAATAAAATTCGTGGATTTATAATAAAGATATTCGTGGATTTATAATAAAGATATTCGTGGATTTATAATAAAGATATTCGTGGATTTATAATAAAGATATTC